CGGAAAAAAAAGGGTTTTCATATGTTTTACTATTGATCAGCAAATCTCGGCCAATACTTTTTGGTAGTGAGTGTATATATATATATTTGAAATTTTTGGTAGTATTAGTCTACTAATCGTTCCTTGTCTTTACGTTGTTATAATAAGGGCAAACGGTCAAAGCCTATCATCTAAAGAGCATCGTATGATCTATGGACGAACTCAGGGAAAAAAACCAGATATGGTTGTTTGTCGAATTATTGAAAAAGGCGAACATGAAGAATCATGTTTTATTGAAGCGAAACATTTTTCAATCACAAGAAATAGTAATAATGGGGGGTATAATCTCTATAAAGTTGCTATTCTCTGTCAAGGAGGTATAAATAAGATAATATCATCGCGTGGAACCGAAACCGGAACTAAAACATTTGGTGCTCACGTTTGTGGTATGTCTACTTTTTTCCATTTTTTTGGCGCTTCATTTTTTAACAATTTTTCTTATAAAAACAAGAGGGATACCTCATCTTGTTCATGATGGATCTAGAGTACGACGGTATATACCGTTTCTTTCAGCTTTGCGAGATTAAGCTTGCCCAAGAACTTTCCGAATTCAATCTTGTAAGAAGATTAATAGTCGAGACACACTTTTTCAAGGTAAAGATTTCTTGATGATGGTTCTTGATGGATCAAATATTTCAATTTTCCATAATTTTTTCGTTCAGCGTCGTATCGATTATTACTATTCCAACCGAAACAGCCAAAATAGATCCCCTGGATCTCCTCTCCGAAATAATTTTTCTCGTAATCCAGTAACCACACCTCAGGCGCCCAAAGCTGATCAAATCACCGAATTTTATTAGATCTGTTCTATTTAATGATTTATATTCCATACATATATTTTCTGTAATACCTCCTTTATAGTATTTAAAAAAATATTTTAAGCACAAAGCAATAACAATAAGTTTCAAAGAAAATTCTAGATTTGCTTGATGCTCTTTTTACTTCGTTTTTTGTTTGGTCAGGGTAACAACCGGTATCGTGAACCGAAGTTCACGCCACGTGACTTGTGGCACAATACATATTAAATGATATGCCGATCAACTTATATTGATTAATAAAGCATTTATGCTTGTTATATTATGCATTGTCGAAGTCAAGTTAACTTATGCTTTTATACTTACTATGTGGATTGAATTCTGATATTTATTTCCCTAGCATCTGAAGCGATAAGTGCTTGTATTGACATAATCACCACTGCTCCACTCACCTTCTAAATTTTCGTCTTTATAAACTTTATTACATATACTACAAATTCTCGCTACAACCCAGGCCCAAAGGGGCGAATCTTTATATTCATATGCATCTTCTCCATTCTCATCGTATAAATTACTCGTAAAATATGACGATTATATCATTTTCGAAGACATGATCTAACAATCCAGTCTCACTAAAATTGAATCGAATATTCATATTGTATAAAGTTATTAAATCTAATAGGTCTAAATCCCTAAATACGATATAATCACCCATAAATAAGTCGTATAAATGGATAGCTTAAGTGAAAGACGTGGAATCAATTGCACCGATGCTGAATGGGATGAATATATAGAGATGCCTCAAGTTCGTTCTAATGAAACTCCTAGCGAGTGGATGAAACGAATCTGGGAACGTTTAATGTATTTTAGAGAAAATAATCTTTTACCATATCAGAGTAAAAAATACCTCGAAGCTAGGAAATTAATACGATGGCCGGATGGCAGTTCATCTGCTCCTGAAATCGGAATAGCAATATGTTTCTCTTGTGACCGATTAGTATACACCGGACAAAGAAAAAAGAATATCGGAAATTATAACCATATAGGAATGGAGAGACATTGGAAATTTTCATGTACCGGAAATAAATACTGTGGTGTAAATTATGAAGAGTATTTGAAAATAAAGCAAAAATCTAATTCCGGATATGATTATGACAATAAATATGCATTACATCGTTATGAGTTATGGAAATGCAATGCGATTAAAAGACTTAAACGTGCAAGGGAAGTCGGAAGAAAGATTCAAGCTATAAATATCATATCTCAAAAATGGTTGGAGTATATGTATAAACCTGATGGTCTCTGCGCTTCAGAATTAGCATTACATTATCAATTATTATGGGCAGTTCGAGAAGAAATGCGACAAATTAATACTGTATAGATCATGTCTGCAGGCACGAAGTGTAATTTCTCCGAAATAAGCAATACACATATCTATTTATTATATAATTTATTTATACATTAAAATAAAACCACCTAAAGTATTCCTGAGGGCTAGTACTTTAGACTTTATTTCGTTACCCCCGAGGGCTGGTAACATTTTTTACTTTGATTTTTATATATCAAACCATTTTACCCGACACAAAAATCCCTAGTATAGATAGACCCGAAGGGTCATTGCTTCGCAATAATAAATCGCGCTTGTTATTATTACATCTACTCTAACTACAAATCGGCAGGATCGATCAGCTCTTAAAATAGAGTGGCAGATAAGATGTACAGGTATATTGTTGTATTAATAAATAACGGGGAAAAAAAATCACGAAAAATATTATTATCTGATTGGTAAATATCACGCATATCTGAAATCAAGCTCTATTGCAGAGCAGGCCGTATTGTAGAACAATGACACTTACGTGCCTAGGCGATTCTCCGAATCATGGCTCTTCGAGCCTACTCACTAAGAAATGGCGTATCCCATCCTTTCCGAATCCTGTGAGGGTGGTTTCGAGGA